AAAAATAGAAACAACAAATGCTAGCAAGGATGTGGTGAAAAAGGAACTCTTTTACATGCTGGTAGGAATGGAAACTGGCCCAGCCTCTGTGGATGGCTATGTGGAGTTTCCTCAAAACTAAAAATGGACCTACCACATGATCTTGTGACTCCACTCCTAGGAATCTACACAACACAAAACCCTGATTTGAAAGGAATCCTGCACTCTTATGTTTATTACAGCATTATTTACAATAGCTAAGATATGGAAACCATCTAACTAACTGCCCCAAAACAGATGAATGGATCAAGAAGATGTGGTACTCAAGAATAAAAAAAGATAAACTAATGCCATTTGTGGATGGCAACATGGATGCAGCTGGAAGGGAATATGATAGGCGACATAAGTCAGAAGGAAAAAAGATAAAATATCAGATGGTTTCACTTACATGTGGAATATGGAGAAACCAAACAAAAGGTCAGGTAAAAGAAAAATTTGCAAACTGATCATAGATCTGAGGCACACAGCAGGGGAGGGAGAGGAGAAGGGTAAAAGCAGGGGAGGGAAAAGCACAAGGGACTATGGTGATGGGCCACATGTGGTAGTGGCAGAATTATGGCGACTACACCTGAGGTGAAAAAAAATCAAGTACTGTCCAAAAATTAACAATGCCATATGAAAATAAATAAATAAATTTTAAAAAGAAAGAAAGAAATGTGAGGAGATGTAAATTCCCAGGGATGATGTAATGGGTAAAGAATATTTATAGTTACAGTCATATTTACTAGTAAAATAATCAAACCAGTGACTATTCTGATATTGTATTTAGGGACAAACTTAATAAAAAGGAGAGGATGATTTAAAAAAAATATATTAGGTAAGCTATAGTGAGAGGAATTAAAATAGTAAACTAGGCTGAAATTGAATATGAATGACTGTAGTCTAGTTCAGATTGACTCCAAATTCTCATGCTGAGTAGTGAGACTGTGACAAATAATTTATGTCCTTAATCTCATATTCCTCCTCTATAAAATTGCTATCATCAGTGAATTTCCCACATCTCTTATAAACATTAAGTGAAGCCATATTCAATCAGGAAGGTAATTTGTAAGTAAAAAATGTAGAAACAAATTGCATCATTAAGTATGGTTAGAAAGGAATATGGTAGTATTTTAATCCTTGATATGCTGTACACCTGCAAATTTTACAGTAGATGAAATGTGAACAGAAGCAAAGGAGGGAGAGAAATGTAGAACTTAATGAACAGGGACCTTACATTTTAAAATTAATTCAGTGTATTTTGGTTCTTAATTGTTTAGTATTCTTTATCCTCAGCAATTTCACCTGAAAAATAGGATTAATTTTAGCACCTACCTCATAAAGATATTTCTGAGAATTAAGCAACACATATAAAGCTTTTGGCACATGCATACACTAAATGTAGAAGTAATTAATGACATTACTATAATTATTATTAAACAGGACAAGTTACATTAGAATTAGCCCCAACATACCTTTCAAGCTTCTGAAAGTTTTTGGCAGATGAAATAAAAAGTGGAAATTGCTTAGAGAACTCTCACATAAGGCATGGTAGAAATCTCTCTTATTAAAAAAAAAAAAAAAAGTTGACACAAGGAAACTTTTTTTTTTAAGGATTTATTTATGTATGTATACAAGAACTGAGTTGGGGGGGGCAGTGAGAGGATTCACCAGAGACAGAGCGGGGAACAGAGCAGGCAGATTGGCTGAAATACACGGGTAAGGGGAGCAGTGGGCGAGTCAGGAGAGGTCTGCTGCTCCACGTGGGTTAGCTCCCTGGCTGGGATCCAACCTGTGCTGCAGTGGCTGCGGATTGCTTCATAGTGCTGAGACTTAACCCCTTAGGCCACCGGGGAGGTCCCACAAGGAAACACTCTTAAGAAGAATTCTTTTTGATACTACAACAACAAATGATCCCAGGTAATCACCCTGGGAAAATAAGGAATATAAAGTATGAGTCCTCTTTCTGAGACTTATCTCAGTGGGGAGGGGAGAGGAAGGATCTGAGTTCAGAGGCTGATTAGAAACTGACTAAAGCATACATAAATCCATGAGGTTGGTTGTCAAGGAGCTTTAATAAAAGGATGGTGGCTACCATGAACCAACATATATGCCATATTTCCAAAGCAAGAATCCAAGATTAAACATCACATGTGAATTTTTAACTTAAAGAACTAGGTCAGCTATGCAGAACTAAGGACTATGTTGGTATAACGTGCAGTTCTAGTGTTACATCTATCACTGAGTCTCTCATTCTGGAATTTTACCTTGGCAACCAACTTACTTATTACTAACTGTAAATCACTTGAAAGCTTAGCCATTGGATATGGGACATTCCAATGTCTGCCTAAGAGAGGTAGCCATAGCTCTGTGGTTTAACATTCAGGCTGAAGTGCCAGGCTGCCTGGGTTTGAATTAACTTTGGTTTCTCACTAATAATCAGCTATGACTGGAGTCAATCACTTACCTTTTATGTGCCTCTTCTGTAAAATATAAATGACATGCAGGTTTTTAAAAAAAATATTTTTAGTAATGTGAGGTTTATAAAACGCTTCAAATAGTGTCACAGAGTAAACCCTCAATAAACATTGACTATTATCATTACATGAAATTATTTTCCTAATGCAGCAGTTCTTAAAATTTAGTTGCATGGGAATAATCTGGAAAGCAAGTTAACACACAGACCCCCTAGTTCCAGTCCTGCAAGTTCTGTTTCAGTGAGTCTGGAGTGGTTTTGCATCTTCAGCAAGGTCCAGGGGGTTGTTGATGATGCTACTTGCTGAGAGCCTCTGCCCCAAATCATTCACTCCAAGTTCTTATCAAAGACTTTAAGACAGTATAACTAAGGGGTTGGAGAGGGTCATTGCAGTTAGATAAGTCAGTGTTTCTGAGTCAAAGTATTGGACGCCCTGTCTACAGATGCAGGAGTTACTAAATTATTGAGTGATAGCAGAAGATTCTGGAAATTATCTTCATGGAGCCGGGTTGGGGGATAAAGAAGAATGCATGCCAAACATAAAACAACAGCATTATTATTGTCACTTTCAGGAGAGCAGTTTCTTCAGCTGGGCTAAACAGAAATTTGAAACTGCAGTTATCACAGGTTATCATCACTACCTCTTGACCTTCAAACAGAACTTTGAGGAGCCATGGACCCGAAGGCAGTCCGTGGTGATTAAAGAAAGCCCTAAACCAAAAAGGCCAACGTGCCAACAAGTGGGTATCAATATGGATTTGAACGTGCCCACACTGAAACTGTCCTGCTCGACCTACCGGACTTGTCTGGAGAAATCCCAGGGATTAGAAATCAAAGAGGAAACAGAAGGCTATCAAACGTCACCACACTCTCAGAATTAGAGGAGGTTGGCAGGCATTTATTATCCCTGTGCGCTGAGCCTGGCGGAGCATACACCAAAAGTTAACGTCATTTTTTCATATGCCTGTTGGCCATTTGCATTTCCTTTTCAGAGAAGTTTCTTTTTAGCTCTTCTGCCCATTGTTTGACTGGATTATTTTCTTAGTTTTTGTTGAGTCTCATCAGCTCTTTGTAGATTTTTGTGATCAGTCCTTTATCGTTAGTGTTGTGTGCAAAAATTTTCTCCTAGTCAGTGGGGTCTCTCTTTGTTTTTGTTATTGTCTCTTCTGCTGTGCAGAAGCTCTTTAATTTGATGTAGTTCCAGCTGTTTATCTTTGCCTTCACTATCACTGCTTTGGGTGATGTGTCTGTAAACATGTTTTGATGTGCATGTCACGTAGAGTTTTGCCTGTATTTATTACTATGTATTTTATGGTTTCAGGTCTTATGTCTAGTTCTTTAATCCATTTTGAGTTGATTTTTGTGTATGGTGAGAGGTAGTGGTCAAGCTTCATTCTTTTGCATGTAGTGACCCAGTTTTCCCAGCACCATTTATTGAATAAACTTTCTTTGCTCCAATGCATAGTCTTTGCTCATTTGTCAAAGATTAGTTGATCATAAATCTGTGGGTTTATTTCTGGATTTTCTATTTGATTCCATTGGTCTGTGTGTCTGTTCTTGTTCCAATACCACACAATTTTGATGATCATGGCTTTGTATCACTTGTAATCAGGGAAATGCAAATCAAAACTACCATGAGATACCATCCTACACCAGTGAGAATGGCACATATTAAAATAACTAGCAACAACAAATGTTGGCGAGGGTGTGGAGAAAAAGGAACTCTCCTGCACTGTTGGTGGGAGTGCAAACTGGTCCAACCACTATGGAGAGCTGTGTGGAGATGTCTGGACCCACTAAACATAGAGCTTCCATATGATCCAGCAATTCCACTCCTAGGTATTGACCCAAAGGACACAGAAACATCAATTCCAAAGAACACCTGCACCCCTATGTTTATAGCAGCACTGTTTACAATAGCTAAGCTTTGGAAACAACCCAAATGCCCAAAAATAGATGACTGGATCAAGAAGATGTGGTACACATACACCATGGAATATTACTCAGCATTCAAAAAAGATAAACACATGCAATTTGCAGCAACATGGATGGCGCTGGAAGGGATCATGCTCAGCGAAATAAGTCAAAAAGAAAAAGAAAAATACCGGATGGTCTCACTCATAGCAGGAATCTAGAAAACTTAAATAAGGGACCAGGAAAATGAATAACTATAAGAAAGTGAAAATCAAAATCAACAAAAACTATGAACCAGAGACACTTTTTGGGAGGTGGGGGGCGGGAGGGGAGGGATTGGGGTCAAAATGGGGGGGTTGCAATTGTATGGGGAATATAAAAATAAAATTTATTAAAAAAATAAAATATAAAAGGTTCTTCGTTTGCTCTGCTTATCCTTAGGTAACATCATCTTACATGAAATGCTATTTACATAATAAAGCTAACTAAATATTGGGAAAAAGAAAAGGTTAACGTCATCCCCGCTCCCCCTTCCCTCCCTCGCTCCAACTGGCCCGGCGATCGCGAGCTGCTGAGCGGCGGGACTCCGGATGCCGCCGGCAGCACGAGCCCGCGGGTCAGCTGTGTTAAGCGGTGACGCGGGGTCTGGCCTTTCCTGGGAAGGGAACTTACCTGCTCCCGGCGCGGAGAGGTTCGGCGTGGAAACGCAGCGAGTACCGGGCGGGGGCTGGCGCTGCGCGGCGGGGTCGGGGTCGGGGGCTCCTGGAGAGGAAAGAGGTTCGCGGTCTGGGCAGGGGAATGTGGGGTCGGCTAAAGCAAATGAAAGAGTTACCTCCTCCGTAGCTACTGCAGGTCGGAGACCTTCTGAGGAAAGATTAATCAGTACTGATGGAGACCCTTAGAGGGGACGCCTGTGATAGATTTGTCCAAAAAAGACCAATGGAGGAGAAAGTCCTGGGAGTTGGGGGGTAAAATGGAGTGACATTAATAGTTACATTTAAATTACAAGTTTGAGGAGAAATAAAGCACACTTCTGTAGAAGGGAAATTTCAAAACCTGTGCTTTACCTTTGGTTTCTCTATCAACAATTGCAATGAAGGGACACTTCGGCATAGATTTGAACACCACTTATTATAACCTGAAACTGCTGAAGAGCCTCCAGGTCTCTTGCCAGATTATTATTCCTGAGCTGCAACCCAAATGAAACAAACAAAAACTTAGCCTTGCTGACTTTGAAAGCAGAGAACTTTTCCTCTTCAGCTCTGTGGAACCCTTTTCCATTTTCTGGGAAGATTTCTGCCGATGTCCGAAGATTCAGGGCCAAGAGAGAAGAGCTCAGGTATTGTTAATTCTGCTTCTTTATATACATTTTGAAGTTTTAGCTTGTGGGAATCCACTATCTGGATGGCCTTGTAGATTCGTGAGTCTCCTTTGAATAACTCTCGTGGGCCACATCCAGAACTTCCATTTCCTAACTGAGCAAGAGAATTACTTTCATGCTGATGTTCCTTTCTTTGTCTAAAGGTAAAAAAGTTGAAATACTGTCTCTAATCATACAAATTTTATTTTAAATTGTTGTTACCAAATGTTTACAATGACAGAAGTGGTTGTGTGATTAATTCTTTACTAAATTTTAATCTGGGCTAAATCCTAATAATAATTCCATTATCTTTTTGTCTATATTGCAATATAAGCAATTCAGCATCTGTGTTATTTCTAGTGTAGATTATGGCTGAAACACAGTTGCTGGTAAGTCCAAAAGAAACCATTCTACTCCAAGGAACACCAAGATTTACAAATTATGAAGGTCACTTTTATTATGAAAAAATCATAAAGGTTTTATTGCAAAACTTTTATGATCTGAATTTGTTCTGAGAAAACTGGGTTTGAATCTTTGGGCTTGCCCCACATGTGGGTAACAGATACCATTTTTCAAAAAACTGAGCATATTTTTCCCTCTGGTTTTGCTCCCCCACCTGCAAGACAGAAGTGAAGAGGAGGGAAAGGGACCAAGGAAAGCAGCTGAGGAATATTTTAAGGGAGCAAAAGCAGACAGCTTCCTTCTTGGGACGCGTAAGCAAGAGCCACTGCAGTGTAGGTATAAGGTTCCAGCCCCTTCAGTCAGTACGTTCACTGTTGCTTGTGGTCATTATTTGGCAGGCAAGAGTGCAATGTGTCTTTTTTGGCAAGAACCTAAGGACATGGATTATTATAGCTTTTAAAAAATGTTTTTAAAGAGAGCCTAATAAAATGATAAAATGATATACACTCAATATATATGTAATGTGTTACAAAATTGAGTTTGTTCATACACACACGTGTGCATAGAAACACACATACTATATATATATACATATATATAAAAATCTGAAAGGAATAAGAAAAATGTTAATAATTATGTCTGGATAATGGGATTATGAGTAATTTTATTTCTTTTTTCTACTTATTTATAGCTTCCAAATTTTCTGTGATGCATGTGTAGTAGTTTTATAATCATTTTTTTAAACATTGGCCAAAAGGAACTAATGCATTAATAGAAAACAAGCCTATGTATATCAGTTATCACAAGATCTTCATTATGGTCTTCATTTTCTCTCTCAAATGAATCCTAAATAATAAGATTTACTGGTTTTCATTAAGAAGTATAAAGTTGTGAAAGGATTTTCACAGCAATAAGTGATCACTTGATCACAAAGCTCTATGGATTTTAAGTTTTACCGTAGATGTTATTAATGAAATGGACAATTTATGACCCTTCGGGAAGGCCTTGAGCTTATCAGAGCTGCTGTGTGCAGTCTACTTGGACTTTACTGAAATAGTTCTCACTTAAAGGTTTGATTCTTTTCAGGATAGAGATGAATGTCACAGGAATTACCTGCTTACTGGTTTCCTTCTCTCTGACCTGCCTGGTGGTCACTCCCGGGGGCAGGGCCTGTCCTGGCCACTGTGCCTGTTATGTGCCTACAGAGGTTCACTGCACCTTCCGCTACCTGACCACCGTGCCAGCCCACATCCCACCCAACGTGGAACGCATCAACTTAGGGTTTGTGGCTCTCTTGTCACCCTTTCAAGGGATTGAGCATATTGGTTACCTGTCCCCCAAACATTGTGACTTAGGTGGATTATCCACATCATTTTAATAATATTTCTCTTCTGAAGAGAGTTCATGAAAATCTTAAATTTGTGAGGGGCAATAAGAGAATTTCTCCTGGTAAACATTCAGTAGCGGAAAGTTCTAGAAACCAAATCACTCTTGATAGGTTGGTAAGTCCATGATTATAGAAAAGCTTCATGCTGGCTACATTTTTGCTGGAAAATATTTTAAAGTTAAGGTTACAATATATCAGAAAGATGACAGGGCAACTGTAAGTGTCCCCTACCTAGGTATGAAAAGTCAACTAGATCCCTTTTTGAGGCCTTTGATTTTTTATATGCATTTAAATTAATTTAATCTGTCAAAAGTTGACTTTATTTGAAAGATTCATGAAAAGGGGATGTGTGTGTGTGAACACACATGTGGTTAGACTTACTTGACATTAGTGAGCACCATTATTGCGCCAAACAGAATGGCTGGTAACGAGGATACAATTATTCATTTCTAGAAGCTACAGTTAAAGAGAAAAAGCAGATGTCAATCAGTATAATTTAATGTGAACTGTAGTAGAGCATTCAAAGTGCCTTAGGAACAATCAATAAAAATACTTAATATTAATTGTGTTCTTATTATTCTAGCATTGAGCTAACCAGGCTACATGTTATAATCCTTGTAATCTTTTTAGAGCCAGCCCTAATATTCACAAATTATAGATGGGAGAAACTCACGCACAAAATGTTCATTGAGTTTGCCTCAGGTGGCACCATAACCAGGACCCTGAGTTAATAATCATGGCCAAATTCTTTGACTTCAGAGCCCAGGCTTCTTAGCCATTACTTTATAATGATGAATCCCACCTAGGAGAATGATAGGGAAATGTCACATGAGAAATGGAAGAGGCATTTTAATAGTGTTCTCAGAGGGCTGGAGTCAAGGGTATCCCAACCTGAAGGAATAACATATTTAAATATTTGAAAATGAGAGAATATTTGGGGATATGAATGAGAAATAGACTGCAAGGATGGAGTAGAAGGTAGACCTTCTGGGCATCTGATGAATTTCAATAAGTTTGTCAGCACTAAATTATCTCCATAGAGCCTGGTGAGTAAAGGGAAATAGTTGTTTGTGTTTGTGTATGTTTTGACATTTGAACTGTAGTTGAAAAATTTAGCTAATGCTTAGAATGACATTTTTATTTCAGGTACAACAACTTGGTTAGATTGACAGAAACTGATTTTTCTGGCCTAAACAAATTGGAGTTACTACTGCTGCACAGCAATGGGATTCCCACAATCCCTGCTAAAATCTTCTCTGATTTACAGGCCCTGCAGGTGAGACGAGAGAGGGCCAGGGGCACATTAAATAGGTAATGGGTATTTCCAAAAACTATCCACTCTTACAGAATTCAAAACTTGGTATTCCTTAAATTGGAAGTAGCATTTCAATGAACTGATTTATTTCTAAATGCAGCAATATTTGGGAATTAGCATAATAAGAAATTTCTGGGGCAGATTTTGTCATATTTCAGACCAGTAGAAATAAAAGTCAATACCCAGGGACTGCTAAACCTTTAAAATTTGATCCTGAAAGTCTACTTCCAGTCATCTTCATCTAGAAATCAAATGTGGTTCCTAGAAACAATTGCTATCTTAGAAGTTAGCTTCCTATATATCAATGTACCTTTTAAACTTACTTTATTTATGCCCTGCCTGGTTCAATTTTTTTTTAAGTTCTGGGTACTTCCAAGAATGCATCAAGTATTGTAAGAATTGTGGCTCTAGTATGTGAGAGAATAAAAGGCAAAACAAATCCAGGGATAAGAACACTGGACAATAGGCAATGCAGTTGTAAAGATTATATGTTTTCTATAAGTAGGACTTGAAGGTTTCAATACAGTAACTCACAATTTATGACATCTATTAACTTTTGAATAGAAAAATTTCTTCTGAAGAACCTCATGAAGTAGATATAGTGTAAAGAAGATTAATATCCTCATAAATGATAAAGTATCAGTGTCCATAGATTTTTGACACCCTAACAGGACTGTGTAAAGCAATAGAATAGAGTCTAGGAGTCTAGGTATATGCTTTTCTTGATTTGGCTTAATTGGATTTTATTTAGAATATGTGTCTTCAGAGAATTTAGATGGAATACACACCTTTTGCAGAATTCTCTCTCTCTCTCTCTCTTTCTCTCTCTCTCTCTCTCTGAGGGATATTGAGTTTGAGATGGTACTTTCAGGTAGTATTTGGGGCAAAACTCTTCAATGATGTCAATTTAATTTTTCTTTTCTTATTAGGGAAATTGGAATTCAAGAAAGGCATTCATAACCAAAAGGACAGCTTAGGCCAAATCAGGAAATATGAGAAACCATTGTTTTTGCTAGTATTTATCTTTCTTTTCATATTTGGGAGAAAGGTATGTTTGAATCAAAACTAGAAAAGGAATTAGAGAATACTAACTCACTATTGAAATACTGAAAATTATTTTAATTTACATTCAAAATCAGTTAGAATCTTATTACTCATAATAGCCAAAAAATTTAAAACACCCCAAATGTTCATCTACTGATTGAGAAACAAAATGTGACAAAATAACAAAATAAATGTGTTCTTTTTATTCTTAGGTCTTAAAAATGAGCTATAACAAAGTCCAAAAACTTCAGAAAGATAGTTTTTATGGCCTGAGAAGCTTGACACGGTTGTACATGGACCACAATAATATTGAATTTATAAATCCAGAGGCTTTTTATGGACTCACCGTTCTCCGACTGGTACACTTAGAAGGAAATCAGCTCACGAAGCTCCATCCAGATACATTTGTCTCTCTGCGCTACCTCCAGATATTCAAAACATCTTTTATTAAATACCTATACTTGTCTGATAACTTCTTCAGCTCCCTCCCTCAAGAGATGGTCTCCTACATGTCTCATCTGGAAAGTCTCTACCTTCATGGGAACCCCTGGATCTGTGATTGCCACTTAAGATGGCTGTCTGACTGGATACAGGAGAAGCCAGGTATCATACTCTTTATGTCTTTGTTCTAATTAAACAGAGGAAACTTGCCTGGAGGTGTTTCATCTCTAAGGGGGAAAAAACCAAGATAATTTAGTTAGAGATAAAATAAAATCTAAATAATTATTCAGGAAAAAAGAATTCTCTTAATTCGTGAATTAATTTGTTGTTCATTGTTTCAGCTGTCTAGTTATCACTCCTAGCTTTTGGCAAAAATGGGAAATGAGGAATGTGTGTATGTTACTCTTCCTTACTTATGATAAATAAGCAATGCAAAACCCTTCCTTCTCATATTCATTGTAGTTATTTGGGGTGTGTGTGTGTGTGTGTGTGTGTGTGTTATCAAGAGCACCGTCTCTTTTCTAATCAGGCTTCTAGTGGAGAACTATGCTTCTAGTGTTGAGCCATGCTTCTACAGGTGGACAGACAACAGAATGTGAAATGTGCTTTGATGGGAGAGTAGAATTTGCCATAAAGAGGGCAGGAACCATTCAATCAGCAACCACTTGTCACAAACCCAGTGTGGACAAAAGGCCTCAGGGAACATAGGGATCCAAAACTGATCAGTATCCATCAAGATCCCTGCCTATTTGGCACTTACATTTTTGAGAGAAAATACACACACACAAAATGTAGTATTAATTATTAAATGCTGATTAAATAATTATTTCTGTTAGAGTCATGTAGCACTAAGTGAGGATAATTCTGAAAAATGCATGTTTAGGTAATTTTGTCATTGTGTGAGCACCATAAAGTGTCATTACACAAACCTAGATGGTATAACCTACTACATCCCTAGGGTATATGGTATAGTCAATGGTACCACTATCATATATGTGGGTCGTTATTGACTAAAACATCACTGAATGAGGCATGCCTGTAATTGAGTACTTAAGATAATGACTGAAAGAATCACATTGATTTTATCATCAAAGGGATGATCTTTTAGTTTATAAAGAGCAGTGGGGACTGGATCACTGTGCGAGGAAGAATAGGCAAGAGGTCGTACTACAGTCAAGTGTTTGTAGGTAGGAGAAAAGAGAAGACAGGTGAAATTCCTGGGTCTAGTAGAGGAGATGAAGAATTTAGAAGATGACTTTTTCTATTCTACAAAATTGTTAGAAATGACTGAAGAGGGTGTAGGAAGATGTCAAGATCAGTAGCTTGAAGAAAGTGGAAAAGGTATGAAGTTGTTACCATGAAATTGTGTTTGTGTTTGTGTGAAGGAGGAAAATATTCCTCTACCCTTCTAGATACTTATGACTGGAAAATAATTAACTCAACAGGAGAAAAAGGCATGAATTTGTTAAATGCACATGGAGGTAGCATATGAATATGAGAACCTATGATGTGAACAGAATCACAAGTTAAATGTTTTTCAGATAAAGAAATTCATGAAATTTTTGGTTTGAACATGAATTTAGTTAGCTAAGCAGAGCCTATTTGAACATGAGAAAGGGCCCTTAATACTTGGTGGTGAGAAGATGTCTCCTCCCCTCAGGTTACAGAGCATGTCTGCCCTCCATACTGAAGAATTATTTCCTGATTTTAGGAGAAGAGAGTCGGAGAAATTCTTGCTTCAGCTGTTTCCCAAGTGACTTTAAATTAAATAAATTAATGTGTCACTTTGGCATATTTTAGTGCAGTCTGCTATGTGCCCCAATAAATGCCAGTTGACATAATTAGTCAAAAAGCAACTCCAAAAGCATTCACTGAACATTGTGATGTACTTCAGGCCAATAGACACCATCTTTTCTCTCTAGGAGTTTAGAATCCTTTAGGTAAATATTTCAAAATGGAAAAGAATGTCAGGCTATCAATAAAAATCATCAAAACACTTATATTGAGGAACAGTTCTCCAGGAGCTCAATCAGTAAAAGTTACCTCTGCCTTGATAGAACTGAGGAAAGTTGGGCTATGGAGTAAGACAGAGAGCAGTGTGATATGTGTAAGATATTTCCTATTTAATCCTCACCATAACCCCCAATTTACAAATGAAGAATAGAAATTTAAGAAAGTTGGTATCTTGGGCTAGCCTGTACCTTTACACCTCAAGCTTTTTTTTTTAAATCTGTAACGTAATTATGAGAAAGAATAAATAATACATACAAAGTGCTTAGCACAACCTGTGGCACAAAGTAAGCACTCAGTAAATGGGGAATTATTATTTTCTTTTGCTTTCCAATGCTCTGGAGTTTATAGGTTCAAACCTCTATAAATACATAATTTCACATCCTGCCCACTACCAGTGCCCCAACAATCCTGTATCATGTTCCATTGGACCCATTCTCTCTCCCACTCCCACCTTGTCACCTGCCCCTCTGGTTGCCTCAGTTTTGCAGTGAAATGTTAATAGTTTATTATTGGTTTGGTTATGTCTGACCCTTTGTTATGTTTCTCTATATTCAACATATAAATGAGACCATCCTGCATTTGTTTTTCTCTTTCTGCATTATTTCACTCAGCATTATCCTCTCTAGTTCCATCCATGTAGTTCAAATAGCAAGATTCATCTTTTTATAGCTGAGTAGTATTCCACTATATAAATTTATATGTACCACAATTTTCTGTCCCATTCCTCTGCACGTACGCACTTAGGATGTTTCCAAAGCTTAAGTATTGTTAAGAGGACTGTAATGAACATGGGAATATATATCCCTTCAAATTAGTGTGTGTGTGTGGTTTTTTGGTTTTTTTTTTTTTTTTTACTTTTTGGGTAGATGCCAAGCAATAGAATTTCTGCGTCATATGACAGATTCATTGTTAATATTTTGAGAATCATTCATACTGTTTCCCATTGGGATTGAACCAGTCTATGTTCCCACCAACAGTGTAAAAGGGCTCCAGTTTCTCTGCATCCTCACCAATGCTTGTAATTCCTTTTTTTTTTTTTTTTTTTTTAATGTGGGCCATTCTCATGGGTGTAAGAAAGTAATTGTGGTTTTGATTTGCATTTTCCTGATAAGTTAGGATGAGCTTTTTTTCCATGTGCTTATCAGACATTTATATATTTTCTTTGAGAAATGTCTGTTTAGCTCTTCTGCTCATTTTTTGATTGGGGTGTTTCCTTTTTGTTGAGTTGCATGAGCTGTTTATATAGTTTGGATATCAGCCCTTGGTAAGATGTGTTATGTGCAAATATTTTTTTTCCCATTCAGTAGAGTCTCTTTGTTTTACTGATAGTTTATTTCGCTGTGCAGAAGCATTTTGGTTAGATGTGATTCCACTGCAGCATGAGTTAAATCCCTGGCCAGGGAGCTAACCACATGGCGCAGCAGACCTCTTCTGTATTGTCTGCTTCTCCTCTTAGCAGTGTATTTCAGTAGATCTGCCTGTTCTGCTCCCCACTCCGTCTCTGGTAGATCCTCTTACACCCCACCACACCTCCGGTCAATGCCCCAGTTCTTCTGTGCATAATATAAATAAGTAAATCTTTAAAAAAGAAGAAACTCAAAAGTCCAGACTTTTTTCCAAATTGTATTTTGGATAGAGATGCTGCTTTGTCCATAAAGTTAATGGTGGGGAAATAACAGATATGAAAAGTTGCACAAAGCCGGTGATTAGCTCAGTTTGCCTGGTATAGAGACAGTATAGACTGGTAAGAATTTTGAACCAAATTGTGGGGAGCACTGAATGCCAGATAAAATGTTTGTACTTTATCCTTAAGGTGAAGGGCAGGTTTTGCAGAAAACTTTTGAACACAGAGTTTCACAATGAGATACTTTTTAGGAATGACCAATCTGCGAGCAGTGGACAAGATGGGCTGGAGAAGAAAGAAACAGGAGTCTGGCTAGGAAGTACCTGTGGTGGTTCATGTCATGAACTATGAGATGACCAGCATCTGCAAGGCAGTAGGAGTTCAGTGGGGATTTCTCAATATGTTCAAATGCCACGGGGAAATAGAAGAAGAAACGAGAAAGAACAACAGGATTTTCATGTGGTTGGTAACTGGATTATAGGAGGATAATGGTGAGAATGTAGAGAAAATGTATATAAAAATGTAATAAAAAAGAAAAAAGTAAGATAATGCCCACAGAGAGATAACGGCACACTCAGAGAAAAAATGATTTTGTGCTCAGTGACTTCAAGGTGTCCAGTCTACTTACCATTTTGCCAATTGCATGTTCTGGTAATAAAATCAGGCTAATATGTATTTTAGCAGCTAACATCCCAATGAGTGAGATATGTATGCCACTGACTATTGACATCCAGTTATTTTATGTTCTAAAGGAATTTTTAAAATGATCAAATAGAATTCAACACTATAGTCCTTGGCAATTCTTGCCCTATAACAGCATTTATAATAAGGTCATTTTATTGGACTAAGGTCATCCCCAATTCTTTATATATCAGTGGCTGCTTTTGTGCATAGAGGCATAATGGGAGATTTATGTTCAATAAAAACCTACAATCATTACAATTTGGCATAGAGATAAAAACATTCTCTACTCTAGCCTGCCAGATCTCCTAGTGTGCTCCTTGGGGACCTTTAGCCTTACTTCCTTTCTTTCCAACCTCAGCCCACAAGCAGGCATTTTTTTTGCTCTAACAACTTAAACTACTTACTGACACACCACAAATTGCCTTGCTATCTCATTCCTGGTCCTCCCTGAAGTATCTCCCCAACTTCCCTGCCTGAGGAACTCCCAGCCAATCAGCAAACTGCTCAAGACCTGTTTGCTCCTCCTCTTTTCTATCTGCATAAGAATAAACATTCATCCTTTCACCACTTTGCAGTTTGCCTGAGTGTCCATTCTTGAAAAGATTACATTTTATTTTATTTGTTAGGATTTGCTATCTGTTGTTCTTTCCTATCTAGCTCCTAAAATACATGGTTTTGTTTGCAAAAAGATAAACAAGAACAGAGCAAGGATGAGGAACTTATGGGCCAGTGACAGGAGCATTTGAGCTGAATGCCCAGGAGCTCTATGGGAAGCACGCTTATATAGATAGAAGGGCCGAGGATATCTGCTTTATGCACATGACGTTTTCAGTTAGCACAC